TCTATTAATTGTTTATTTGTTGTGACCCACGAGGCAGAAATTAGAGTTGTAACGATTGCATCATGTGACGGGCCCGGCTCAGGCAGAGAAAGTTCTGCTCTGAAGCCTGTTGATTTGTTCGGCGACTAATTGCTTCTGTAATCTGATAAAGGAGGCAGACTGAACGCAGCCTCTCTGTTCCTGAGGGACGTGACTCGGCTTTGACCCGCAGAGGCCGGGGGTTCGCCCCCCTCTCCCCCCCCTCCTCCTCCTCACGCGAGGTGCACAGGCCCCGTCGGAGAAACCGAGCGGATGTTCGTACACGTGACTGCGTGGGAGTCGCAGTGCGATCTGCGCACGCCTTAAAGGTGGCACTCGGCTGTGTGGTGTGAGGAGTGTGTGTGTGTGTGTGTGTGTGTCTGTCCAAACACTGCAACTTTAGGCCTTCCTGTCAGCAGATCTGAACCAGAGACCACTTGCTCTGCTTCTATTTCTGTCCACTTCATGTGATCATAAAACAATTAACCGCTCCTCCTCCTCCTCCTCCTCCTCCTCTTCATCGAGTCGAAGAATTAACTCTGAATTCAGGTTTTTATCTGTCGCCTCGGATCTGAACTCTAAAAATTAAAGTGTTTTTTTTTTTGTTTTGTTTCTGAGAGAAAAGCATTTCTGAGAAACAAAGTGAGACAAGATCTGGAGGCAAACAGAAAGTTGACACATTGTGCAGGCAGGTAATGTTTGCAGATAAGCACCAAAATTCAGCTTTTTGTTCCTTAAAAAGCTAAAAAAAAAAAAAACTAAGTTCAAAAAACCTTTCTTTTGTATTGTGACCAAAAGATTTAAAGCTGTTTTAGTTTGGACAGGAAATTCTATTTATTTTGGATTTTTTTAATAAATCATTTAGCAGCTCTTTGTTTTTTTTTGTCACTTTTTTTTTTTTTACTGTAAATGACATTTTCAGTCTGGCTGCGGTTCGTCTGCTCTCCCACACACGCCTGTTTTGACACGTTCCTCGACAGATTATTAAATCCTCTGCAGCCTCTAATAATACTATTATGTTTACGTGTTTGTCTTTTTTTTTCCTCCTCCTTTTCTCACCGTGGCAGACACTTCCAGCGAGACGTCAGAGTCAAAGCGGTGCCACGGCTCCCTCCGCCCACCCTCGCGCCGTCTGCTCTCACTAATTCCTATTAGGAAGCAAATAATCGTATTAATGCCCATTAGAAGCATCACGAGTGGCGAGCATGAAGACATCACACCTACGAGCGGCGCCGCTAAATAAAGACGCTCCTCCACGCTGAGCCAAACTGCGGCGCCTTTCAAGGCTTTTGTGTGTCGATTATTAGTGTCGTGTTTAAAAAAAAAAAATACAAATCAGAGCGAGCTTTGGAATCTGCAGGTTAGAACCGGAGAACACGGGTCCTGAGGTGCAGCTCAGTCAGGATTCCTTTACAAACATGACACAAAGCCACGCAGGCCTGCAGAAACCCACCTAAATCTGCATTCAGCGCCTGATTCTGACGGGCTTTCTGGGCTTCAAAAGCTCCTTTTCTGTGCGATACAAAACGCTATATGTTAATTGATAATCAGCAGTGTTGATTCAGTGGTGCATTCAGAGCAAATCTGTGCCCTTCTGGATGTCAGAGGGTTTTTCACAGCCACGCCGGTGCCAACCTCGCTGGCAGTGCCGGCACCTGGCGGCGGCGCCAAGGCCTGGCAGGGGTTATCGATGCTCTCTGATGGCGCCCGACAATCACGGTGGAAATGACTGCGGCTGCTTGCGTCACGCCACATGCAAGACAAAAAGAAAAAAAAACAGAATGAAAGGAGAAGAGCGTTTGCAGAAAATGGCTCGCTCCTGTTTCCTGAGCGCCGCAGACGCTGAAGGTAGAAAACAAAAAGAGACGGGAGCTGCAGCGCGCGGCGCCTCAGTTCCAGATTATTAATCCAGAAAACAGAGACATGTCACAGTTTGAGGTTTTAACCTGCTCCGCTGCAGCAAATCTTAAATTTGAAACATTATTTTGAAGTTTTATCTCCAGAGTTTTGGGGTCGTTCTGTTTTGTAACCACGGATAAGAACTGAAGACAGAATCTGTGGCGTCCTCAGGGGAGGTCGAGATGATTGAAGGGGTGGGGGGAGTTTCAACAACTCCTACATTTCCTTTCAGAGAGAAACCTCAACCGTAGGACCCTTTTAGACGCAGCCGCCCCCTCAAAGCGTCTCGCTGACCCTCCTCGCTCTGCATACTCTCTGGTTTTTGTCCGAAAGGTGAGCTTTTTGTTGTTTTTAATCCAGTTAAAAGCTTCTCCTGGTTTTTTTGGGCACAAATGTGTTTTAAGATGAATAAACTTTCGACCCCTGCCGGGTGGGCGGATCGATGGTTTCATGTTGGGGTGTGGAACAGAAGGTTGCACCTGCATAGTGACACCGCTAAATATCACTTCTTCTGCGTTTGTTTTGTTTTAAAGGATCGGCTGTAGAAGAACCGATTTCCTGCTCAGGTTGTTTATCAGCAGCTCTGCTCGGTTTATTTAACGTTTCTCCTGCGGCGGTGAGCTCTGTGGAAACTTTTCTTTTTTTTATTAGCCGGCGTGAAAACGTCACCCACGCACCTGACCTCCACGGTCTGCTCACAACCTCTGGCTTTGCCGCCACAATAGGTGTACGCACTTCCTGTTTTCTGTTGGTTTCCTGTTATTGTTCTGATGCGACCTGGACAGAAACGACTGATCATCTCTGTTTGATGCAGACGCTTCGGCCTGATGGGCGAGATCTCACTTCAGGCTGAGGAGGATGTTTAACCTGTGAACTCCTGCTTTATTACCTGTCAGTGCTCTTCTTCTTCTTCGTGACAGAGAGGTTGTTTACACGAGTGTAAATCACACCTTTCCTCCTCGTGCTCCAAACTCAACCTGACGACACAAAGAGAAAGACAATTAGAGACACAAACTGTGAAATCAGACATTCAAAAAGATTATGTTTGACTTTGTTGTTTGAGCTTACTCCTGCAGTTTCACACATGTGCAGGTCTGAAATGAGGGCATGCACTCAGTGTAAACAAAGTAAAGTTGTCTGCTTTAGACAGCAGATGTAAGTGTAAATACATTCAACTACATCAAAACTATCAGACGTTTTCCATCACTTCGGCTGTTTCTGTTCACCTGTTTTCAGTCACTTCGGCTGTTTCTGTTCATCTGTTTTCAGTCACTTCAGCTGTTTCTGTTCACCTGTTTTCAGTCACTTCAGCTGTTTCTGTTCACCTGTTTTCAGTCACTTCAGCTGTTTCTGTTCACCTGGTTTCAGTCACTTCAGCTGTTTCTGTTCACCTGTTTTCAGTCACTTCAGCTGTTTATGTTCACCTCTTTTCAGTCACTTCAGCTGTTTCTGTTCACCTCTTTTCAGTCACTTCAGCTGTTTCTGTTCACCTCTTTTCAGTCACTTCAGCTGTTTCTGTTCACCTCTT